TCATGGAATAATGCTCAAAGCAATTCCAATGGTAATATTCTGTTTGATGATTGTTCTGCAGGTTATTACACTATTCAATATCCAAACAGCCCAACATGCTTTTCTTCTGCAAGAAATCCCTCCACTATTGATTTGGTCTTAACTGATTCATGTCAACTTTGTAGCCAATTGGTTACCCATGCTGACTTCGGTTCTGATCACCTTCCAGTAACTTTTGAAATATCCCAAGAAATAATTTGTAATCCCAACAGCTCTACTTTCAATTACCATAGAGCTGATTGGGAGCAGTATCGAACATTTATGGAATATAACTTCGATCCAAACATTCCTTTGCAAACCAAAGATGAAATTAATTATGCTCTTGAATCTCTGACTACTTCTATAGTTGAAGCAAGAGCTGCCTCAGTACCAAAATGCGAGGTAAAATTCGATTCAATTATAATAGACGATGATCTTCAGCTCTTGATCCGTCTTAAAAATGTCCGTAGGAGACAATATCAAAGAAAACGCGATCCTGCCATGAAAGTTATCTGGCGGGATTTGCAAAAACAAATTAAAAAGCGATTCTCTGCCCTGAGGAACAAAACTTTTGAAAATAATATTTCTAAATTAGACCCGAGTTCCAAACCCTTTTGGAAACTCACAAAAATTTTGAAAAAACCTCAAAAGCCTATTCCAGCGCTTAAAGAAGGTGGTAAAATTTTGATCACAAATTTGGAAAAAGCTCAGAAACTTGCTAAGCAATTCGAGAGTTCCCATAATTTCAGTTTGGGTCTTACTAGTCCTATTGAGAATCAGGTTGCTCGGGATTTTCTGAATATTTTCTCTCGGGAAAATATTTTTGATGATTCCTGGGGGACTGATTTGGACGAAGTAAGGTCTATAACTAAAAATTTTCAAAATATGAAAGCTCCAGGTGATGATGGAATTTTCTATATCCTCATCAAAAAACTCCCAGAGAGTACCTTGTCTTTCTTGGTAAAATTATTTAACAGATGTTTCCATTTGGCATACTTTCCTGATAAATGGAAAAATGCAAAAGTTGTTCCAATTTTGAAGCCGGATAAAAATCCAGCTGAAGCTTCTAGCTACCGCCCAATAAGTTTGCTTTCTTCAATAAGTAAACTTTTTGAAAAGATAATTTTGAATAGAATGATGCTTCACATCAATACGAACTCAATTTTTGCAGATGAGCAGTTTGGATTTCGCCATGGGCATTCAACTACTCATCAACTCTTAAGAGTTACCAATTTAATTCGTTCAAACAAATCTGATGGCTGCTCAACTGGAGTTGCTCTTCTAGACATAGAAAAAGCATTCGACAGTGTTTGGCATGAAGGTTTGATTGCTAAATTGAAAAAGTTGAATTTTCCACTTTATATTATGAAATTAGTTCAAAATTATTTAACTGACAGAACTCTTCAAGTAAATTATCAAAATTCCAAATCTAATCGACTACCTGTTAGGGCAGGAGTTCCTCAGGGTAGCATTCTTGGGCCTATATTGTATAACATTTTCACTTCGGACCTCCCTGATTTGCCTCAGGGTTGCCACAAATCTTTGTTCGCTGATGACACAGGCATTTCCGCTAAAGGAAGAAGTCTTCGTGTTATTTGCAGCAGACTTCAGAAAAGTTTAGATATTTTCTCTTCTTATTTACAAAAATGGAAGATTTCTCCCAACGCTTCCAAAACTCAACTTATAATATTTCCACATAAGCCCAGGGCTTCCTTTTTGAAACCTAGTAGTAGTCACATAGTCACTATGAACGGAGTTCCAATTTCCTGGTCAAACCAAGTGAAATATCTTGGATTAATACTTGACCAAAAATTAACTTTTAAAGATCACATTGAGGGCATTCAAGCCAAATGTAACAAATATATTAAATGTTTGTATCCTCTTATAAACAGGAAATCCAAACTTTGCCTGACGAATAAACTTCTAATATTTAAACAAGTTTTTAGACCGGCCATGCTTTACGCTGTACCAATATGGTCTAGTTGCTGCACTACCAGGAAAAAAGCACTTCAAAGGATTCAGAACAAAATTCTGAAAATGATTTTGAAGTTGCCTCCCTGGTACAGTACAACCGAAGTACATAGAATTTCGAATGTTGAGACTTTAGCACAAATGTCCAACAAAATAATTAATAATTTCAGGCAAAAATCGTTGCAATCCTCAATTGCAACGATTAATTCCCTTATACTTAGATAAGATTTAGTTTTAGTTTTTAGTTTTAAGATATCAATTGTTATACTGACATGCAGGTTAAAAAAACCTGTTTAAAATACTGAATTGCCAAGACATGAACAATGTAAAAACACTTAGATATATATCATAACAATTAAGGCTGGTACGTTACTGCAGTAACTGGAGCACCTAGGTTAAAATGAAATGTAATTTATTTTAAATTTGGAACAAATAAAGAGTTAAAAAAAAAAAAAAAAAAAAAAAACTTGCCATCAACGCATTAAAGACAAAATACATGAGAGGAAGAGGTTCTAGGGAAAACAATGTTAACCTCCCACCCCGAGTTCAGATTGACGCTGATGAAATAGAGGTGGTCGATGAGTTCGTGTATTTGGACTCACTGGTGACTGCCGAAAATGACACCAGCCGAGAAATTCAAAGACGCATTATGGCAGGGAATCGTGGCTACGCTCCGGTCGAATAAAATTCGCCGCCGCACGAAGTTGACTGTCTACAAGACGCTGATTAGACCGGTGGTCCTCTACGGCCACGAGACCTGGCCTATGCTCGTGGAGGACCAACGTGACCTTGGGTTTTTTTGAACGGAAGGTGTTGCGTACAATCTACGGTGGACTGCAGATAGATGACGGAACGTGAAGGAGGCGAATGAACCACGAATTGCACCAGCTGCTGAGAGAACCATCCATCGTCCACATTGTGAAAATTGCGCGACTACGGTGGGCTGAGCACGTCGTAAGAATTTCACATGACGACCCAGTGAAAATTGTTCTAGAAAGCGACCCAACAGGAAAAAGAAGAAGAGGCGCGCAGCGGGCAAGGTGGTACCCTGCGGACCCTTCGCAGACCACGAGGCTGGCGAAGTGTGGCCATGGATGGAGTAGAATGTAGACGACTTCTTCGGACAGCAGAGGACAACAAGGCCTGAGCCTGATTGGTAAGTTAGTATAGTCCATAAAGACATCATGTTGTGGGATTAAACAGTTGCTAAAATATACGTTATTTTTCCAGTAGTTCCATCATTAGTTTTAAATTAGGTCTCTGAGGCAGAGAAGAGAGTGAAGGTTGCATTTTATGATAACGAAACAGGTAGTTGTTTTCTTTTCAAAAGATGGTATTGAACAAAATGTTGGTTCATATGTCAGTGAAGTAGGGGAGGAAGGGGTATAACGATCATACGGGATTTAAGCACTCCTTTGTTCTCCAATTTGGTAGAAAACCCTAACATACATTTATCATGCATCATCATTATGTAGTTTACAGCGTGTCCGTAGAATGATGCAAAATAGAATACTGTGATTTTTCTCAAATCAAACGTTTGGTTTCCAATAAGTAGGAGACTAGTACAACTTTAATTGAAAGTTAGAGGAATTCAGTTATTGAATTTCAAAGTCAGAGCAAAAGCTCGTATATATGTTCAATGTTTATATATTTAGTAAGCATCATAGTTAAGGTACACCGGGGTAAGTTGAAACGGTAAGTGTATCTCTTAACGGAAGTGATATCCACTGTAATTATTTCTGAGAGGCATTGTGCACTACCGCAAACTACTATATTAGAAATAATCTCAGTGGTTATTCACTTTCGCTAAGAGATACATCTACACTGTAAAAAAAAATATTCGTTATTTTATAAATTGCTGTTATGGTTCGAGTGACACTTGCCTTTGATAAAAAACACGTCTACTGAGGATTCATATTTATGAAAAAATCATATATCAATGAAACAGTCATCGGTCGTCATTGAAAAGCAATGCAACTATGTTCTGTCAATCTGTTTATTAATTTATTTGATAAGGCTCAACCGAATTAACTTTACAGAGCCGAGGATTCTTGGTCACTATACAATACATCTTAAAACTATAGTCAAAAGGTACAACACAATAAACACTTTATCTTCCGCTATCCAAAAAGCCTCCTCGATCAGAACTTTAGCCGCTTCTAGTAGTTTCATTGTATGGCAAATTGTTGTACGCCAACGAGGGTCAGAGCGCGTCCATAGCAGCAATGGACGCAAAACGTGGTCATCACTCACACACTTATCACGAAACGGTTGATTTCCAAAGTCGACGACGCATCGACCGAAAGAACTGCTGATGAAGAACAATGAGGAGGACCACACAATGGTTGCTGCCGAGAAAACAGACGATCGCGTAGCACACATAGAGAGTGGCCTGCTTTTGTCGACAGCCGAGTGAACACTGTTCTGTCAATCTAATTGACTTTTATTGGTTCTGTTGTCTTGTGAATTTTAGCTAAAACGGCCTCTTTTCTGATTTTTATCTCTCAATCTATGAAATATACACGAAAACTATGTTGGAACGAAACTTCTAGAACAATATGAGGAACATTATGCCGTACACTACACATTTTTATATCATATGGGTGGAAAATTCATAGAACAAATACTTTAAAATTCTTCACTTTTTAAGATATCTTCGAGCATGAAACTAAGTCAAACTTCAATAAAATCACTTCGAATAGTCAACCTTTGGTCACAAAGTTGATACATGACACATTAAACTTTGCTATGAAAGTTGTTACAGCAGTTTTCGTTATTTCAGTCTCGAGATACAAATATTGTAAGCCGTAAATTACCTTAAAAATATAAAATTAACTTGAAGCACCTCTAAATCAACACCGATTTTGCTGAAAATTTGCACAAAAGTTCAAATTAACATGACGAACAGTAATCATGGTTGACCCGTTACATTCTGAACATTTCAATTAAAATGAACAGGTCTACTCTACACCATTAAATTTACCGTCATAATCTGTTATTAAATTTTCCAGATCCTTTCACACCTGTCCAACTCTTACATGTGCTACCGATTCCACTGCCACCGGTACAACCGAACGTAACCAAAGCTACATCCACCACATCGGCAAGACCCCGTTGGTGTATCGCAACGTCGGGCAGCACCTTCGCTTAGCCGCCGAAAAGTTTCCCAACAATGAAGCTCTGGTCTCCTGCCACGAGAACAAACGACTCACGTTCTCCGAAGTGCTGGAAAAGGTCGATCGCATAGCGGCATCCTTCTACCAGCTGGGCCTGCAGAAGGGAGACCGTGTAGGAATTTGGGCTCCCAATGGAACGCAGTTTTACCTATCCTCGCTGGCTGCTGCTCGGGCAGGAATGGTTTCGGTGAGTTGTGACCATTTGTGATTTTGAACATTCCACTCTGTCTTTTAAAACTATTCAATGTTTCATCTCGCTTTCAACTGGACTACGCTCCAGTCTTCTTCGGTTAAGTGAAACAGCTAAAAGTGTACGTTCTGTGCATGTCCTATCAGTTTTCACGTACGTATTAAGATCAATGAAGTCTTTCGTACGATTTCAAGATGTTCATCATTTTTTTAGGTCCTCATCAACCCTGCCTATCAAGTGCCGGAAATTGAATACGCCATTAACAAGGTTGGGGTGAAAGCCATCATCGCCAATGAGCACTACAAGACTCAACAGTACTACAACATGCTGGCCCAATTAGCTCCGGAGCTGTCCCAGTGTAAACCGAGCGAACTCAGAAGCTCCAAACTGCCATCACTTACAACCGTCGTGATCGACAGCGATGGGAATAACAAGTTGCCGTAAGTATAAATCTACCATTCCCATAAAAAAACAGTGAATCACTGATGAATGGTTTTCTAGAGGTGCCATCCCATTCAAAGACCTCCTCAAGCTGCCATCTCAATCGGAAGTGTCGAAAGTCGAGTCCCTTCAGGCGAGAATCTCTCCGGACAGTGGCGTTAATATCCAGTTCACTTCGGGCACAACGGGACAGGCGAAGGCTGCTTTCATGTCTCACAACGGGTTCGTCAACAATGGAATTCACATTGGTCACAGGATCGAATTTGACCTGAAAGATCATCGCATCTGCGTCCAGACGCCATTCTTCCACGTGTTTGGAATAGTCATCGGGATCGTTGCGGCCATGAGCTACGGTTCGACACTGGTTCTGCCGGGACCTGGCTTCCAGGCGTCCGAATCATTGGAAACGATCTCCAAAGAGAAGTGAGTAGTTTCCGTTATGGATTCTAGATCTTATGATGAACGGAATTTCTCTACAGGTGTACAGTAATCTACGGCACTCCAACAATGTACGTCGACTTGGTACGAACCGTTCGTGAGAAGGGCATTAAACTACCCCCGGTCGATTTGGCCGTAACGGGAGGAGCTGCCTGTTCACCGCAGCTCTTCGTTGACATCCAGGAAGCACTCGGTGTACGGCAAGTGAAAACCGTATTCGGAATGACGGAGGCTTCCGCTGTATTATTCCAATCGTTGTTTAACGAATCCAAGGAGAATGTTCTGGAGACGGTTGGTCATCTGACTGATCACTACGAGGCGAAGGTCGTCGATAAGGACGGAATAACGGTGCCCTTTGGGACGTCTGGGGAGCTGTGGGTGAGGGGTTATGGGACCATGCTTGGCTACTGGGGTGATGCACAGAAGACTAAGGAAACAATCGACGTAGACAAGTGGTTGAAAACTGGCGATCAGTTTCAGCTGCGAGAGGATGGATACGGCAAGATTGTCGGACGGATCAAGGAAATGGTGATCCGTGGAGGGGAGAATATCTACCCGAAGGAGCTGGAGGACTTCTTGAATACACATCCGAAGATTTTGGAGACACATTGCGTGGGAGTTCCGGATGAAAGGATGGGAGAGGAGCTTTGTGCATACGTGCGATTGCAGGACCCAACGATGAGCTTGGATCATGCGGAGATGAAAGAATTTTGCAAGGGAAAGATCGCTCACTTTAAGATTCCGAGATACCTGAGGGTGGTGGACAGCTTCCCGAAGACAGTGTCCGGAAAAATTCAGAAATTTAAACTCGCAGAGCTGTTCAAGACTGAATCCGTCAAGGGCGATAAATAATACATGTACAAGTCTTATCAAAGAGTAATTGGTCTAATTAATTGGTGATGACTGTCCCTCTTAAATTGTGTAGTTGTCGAAGAATTATTAACACAAAGTTTGCATTTCCCACAGGTAGGCATCAATCCTGCTTTTCAAGCCCCGGAAGCCGAATATGCTTTGAACAAAGCCGGTGTCAAAGCATTGATCTTGGCAGAACACCACTTCACACAAAACTACTACGATCTGACTGCCAAGATAGTTCCAGAGTTGAACACCAGTTCACCAGGTCAACTGAATAGCACTCGAGTACCTTCTCTGCAGACGGTTGTTGTGGATACAGAAAATGGATCTACACTGCCGTGAGTTTGCTGAACATGGTTAAATTCAAACATTTCATAACTCATAACTTTCATTGCAGAGGCACCATCTCCTACCAAGACATGCTCGGATTACCATCCGAGCGGGACATCTCCGCAATCGAACCCCTCCAAAGCACCATCTCCCCGGACGGCGGCTTGAACATGCAATTCACATCCGGAACTACCGGTCTACCGAAAGCGGCTCTAGTATCGCACCAGGGTTTCGTAAACAATGCAATCCATTTGGCCCACCGGAACGAATTCGATCAGAAGCAGCACCGAATCTGTCTTCAGCTTCCCCTGTTCCACGCCTTTGCCATGGTGGTTGGTGTCCTAACTGCTTTCACTCATGGAACAACTGTAGTTTTACCCGGAGCCCGGTATAAGCCAATGGAGTCGTTGGAAGCGATCGTGAAAGAGAAGTACTTTTACATTCGTTTGAATTCAAGCTTCCGCAGACTAACTGGGATCCTTACAGGTGCACAGCAATCTACGGAACTCCCACCATGTACGTCGATTTGGTGAACAAAGTTCGCGAAACCAATTTCGAACTACCTCCGGTTGATCTGGCCGTAACGGGAGGAGCGACCTGCTCGCCCCAACTCTTCGCGGACATCTTGGGAATCCTCAAAGTCCGCAAAGCCAAGACCGTCTACGGCTTGACGGAAGCTTGCGGAATCGTGTTCCAATCGCTCTTCCAGGACACCCGGGAAAACATCCTGGAAACGGTGGGCCACATCATGGACCATTTCGAGGCCAAGGTTGTAGATGCGAATGGGAACACCGTTCCATTCGGGGCGGCTGGGGAGCTGTGGGTCCGGTCACCTGGCATGATGCTAGGCTACTGGGGTGACGAGAAGAAGACGCGGGAAACCCTCGGTGAAGATGGATGGCTGAGAACGGGGGATCAGTTCGTGCTGAGAGAGGATGGATACGGGAAGATCGTTGGCCGGATCAAGGAGATTATCATCCGAGGGGGAGAGAATATCTTCCCGCGGGAGATCGAGGACTATCTGAATACGCACCCGAAGGTATTGGAGACGCACTGCGTGGGAGTTCCTGATGGACGGATGGGGGAGGAGATTTGTGCGTACGTGAGGCTGAAGGAGGATGGACAAACGCTGAATCTGAGCGAGGTTGGAGATTTCTGTAAAGGACGGCTGGCTCACTTCAAGGTGCCGAAGTATCTGAGGGTGGTGCATGCGTTTCCGCAGACGACTTCCGGGAAAGTGCAAAAATTTAAACTGGTGGAGATGTTTAAGGCAGACCTAATGGATAGGAAATAAATGAAAGTAGGGAATGTCTGTTTTCGACGTAAAGGAAAGAAAGTAAAGCCGTTGGTCTCGGTCAATGTGCTGTTGGGTTCGATATCAAGGGTCCAAGTGTTGAGTCTCCTCCCCGGTGTCGATGATTGGTACTGAATTGCGGAACAAAGACCGCCGGAAAATAAATAGACGGCCGTTCAATCTTACTGTGACAGAGAGAGAGAGAAACTTCTACTGAGATGCAAGATACATTTCTTAAAACGAATGTTACTCAGAGAATGTATCACTTTTAATTTGTAATGGTCTGAGTTACTTACACTTTTGGTCATAGTTACTCATATCGGAGTAAAAGTTACTCACTTTCTAGGCTAGTTTCGTTTTACGTGTAGGTCAATCAGCGCTGAGTATCCAACGTTTTTAGAATTTATCTTTCATTTGAGTAGAAGCTACTTTCTCTCTCTCTCTCTCTCTCTCTCTCTCTCAGAGCGATGAACGGCCGTACAACAATATTAAAAAATGATTTAGCGGTGAGGATAGTAACGCTTGCCGTCATGACATTACTATATCATTTACCACTTCTGCTGGAATGCTCAAGGTGATGATTCCAGCAGAGGTGGTAAATGTCATAGAAATTATATGAGGAAAAAATGTCACGACGGTGGACCTAACGAAGACGAGTAGTGCTGCATCGTCAAACTTGTAGATCTGGATGGTTTCAGGTACGGGTTGCAGGATACAGCAGTTGATACCGCAGTTCGTTGAGTTTTGGTAGCTATGGCTGGTTCGTGGTTCAACGGACTTGGCAGTTAATCGGCAATTCTTTAACTTATTTCTACGAAGATCAACATTTCTCTTTCCAAGCCAAGCGATTCGCAGGAATGAGTGGTAATCGGAAGCAAGATCTGTATTATGCTGATCTGTTGTCTCGGATGGTTAAGGTTATTTCCTGTAGCGTCCTTTTTCGTGTTACGGAGAAGCAAGCAATGTCTGAAATTTGCAGATGTATCAACCTCGTTGATCTTGAGTTGGGTGCTCTTGAAATTGCGAGGTGTGATGGAAAAATGGACGCTACAAGGAAACACCTCAATTGACCTTTTGACAAAGACAATGAATGGCTGGTATCTTACATTCTAGGTTATTCCCAAAACTTCTGAGAAGTTCTCGAATCTTTTGCGACGATTTAAATATTTCTGGGACGTTCTTTGAATAATTGTAAAGTTCATTGAACTTCTGAAAAGTTCAAAGAGTTAGCAGATCTTCTGTGAAGTTCTCAGAATTTTTGGAAAGGTCTCTAAACTTCTGAGAAATTCTTGGAATTTCTGTAAAATTCGTCTATATTCTGGGAAGTACTCGGAATTTCTGAGAAATTTGAGAATCTTCTAAACTAGGAAGCTCACAGAAATTGTGCGTAGTTCTAGGTTGTTCCTTGAAGTGCATGGATCTTGTAAAAATCGATCGGAAATTCTGGGTAGAGCTCGGAATTTTTGGGAAGTCCGCAGAATTTTTTGAAAGTTTTAGGATCTTTTGGGAAATTCACAAATCTGCTAAGAGGTTTTGGAATTTCTGGCAAGCTTTCGTAAATTATGGAAAGCTCTTGAAACTGATGGGAAGTTTTCAATTTTTTTTGGGAAGCTCTCGCACCTTCTGGGGAAGTTTTCGGAAACTCTAAGAAGTTCTCGGAATTTTCGCAAGGTTCTTGAATCTTCTGCAAAGTTTATGGAACTTCTGGGTAATTTTCAGAATTTATTGAAAATGCTCGGATTTTTCTGGAAAACCCGCAGATCTTCTGATAAATTCTCTGAACTTATGGGAAGCTCTCGAAAACTCTGTATAGCTCTTTTAGGAATTTTATGAAATTTCTGAGAGACAACAAAATCTCAAAATAATGTTTCAAGGCAAAGTTCGAGTGATATGGTACGTAATTTTAAATTGCTTGAATAATAGGATCCATTCCAAGGGCATCTCGAGAAGAATTTCTATCATTTATTAAGCGAAATTCCCAGTGAATTTTCTAAGAGGAGAACGTAGTGATAATTTTGAGCTTAATTTCAATACAATTCTTAGGTGGACTGCATACAAGTTTTTTGGAGCATTTCAGAGAATTTTAATTAGAATTATTGAATGAAGCTTCAGTGAACTCTTGGAATAGTCATAAAAACATAAAGAGAATCTTAGGAAGACTTCCGTAAACTATTTGCAGTGTTCGGCAGATAATTTCTTGATTTTTATAGATAAACAAATTCAATATCCTGGTAAGAATAAAGCTGTCTTTGTATTTGTCCCCATTTAACCTTGATGATCCTTTCGACTAAATCGCATTTTGTTTTATACACAATTGGAAAGTAAGAGAAATGAATGTAATGTCGGCCTAAATGCCCCTAATTTGTGCCCATACATAAATTCAGCAATTGACTAAATTTTCAATAGTGACCAAAAATATCCATTAGTACCGTCCCAATGACGCGTTCATCTATATAAAATTGATAAATAGCAGATTTTTAGCGATGGGCCCAATATTAGATCCATAGGCCAACATTAGAGCCATTTCCTCTACATCGCACAACCGGGAAAATTTACAAAATTCCGGAAAAAACGGGGCTATGCTATTCGGGATTTGATGGTATTCCATTAAAAAGAAACGTACATTCATGATTTCAATCCCTTTGACGTAGGACTACGTCTATGATGTATATGCAGGTACACTTTGTGGAACATATAACAAAATTATGAAAGAGTTTGAATGTTAATAACTCAGCTGCCCCTGCACCAATTTCATTAATTTTATCACCAATCGATCAGAAATATGTCTTCTCATCTGCTAAATCTATGAATTTATCATTTTTCAAAATGTCACTATTGAAAATTGCACGAATGTGTAACTGTTGCTATGATAATTAAAATTATCACCGATTGCCTGCGAAAAGCAATTTCCCTAACACAGATTTCAAATTTGTATACCATCCGGTCTCACCAAACGGTGGTGTGTTGGTGGTGGTGTGGTAGTGTTCTCCAGTACACAACGAAAGGCTCCCCACAAGCAGCTACCTATCAAGGCTGGCCTCACCGCTGATCGGATTCAATTCCAATCACCGTGTGTGGTGGTGTCCGGTTGTTGGCATCAGCAGCAGCAGTGCTTTTGGTGCGTGGCGTTGAACATTGGTCTCTACACACTAACTTTAGATTACTGGAGTCAGTAAAATTTTACTGGGTTTTTGAAGCAGCCAGCTGCGTCGCACATGAGCATCCATAGAATGAGGAAGAACCGCTATTGATCGGAATCAGTAGCTCTTCATGAGTCGCTGTGGGCCATCTATGCCAAGGGCGTCACCCTCATTCCAAACAACATACAGCTCGCCAGCCTCATCCGTGTTGCACACCCTAATAGCTCAGCATTGCCCAACCATCACGACAAAACGGTCCTTTTGGACAATCAAGTCAAGGCTCGCCCACGCAAATCAACATCACCATCAGGTAGGGTAAGACTAAGGTAGGGTCCCCTACCCGACGGTTATATTGGTTTGCTTGGACTTGCCTTGAATTCTTAAAAATCATCGGGAGAAGTCATTGTTTTCAAAAGCCGTTACGGTTTATTTCAGCTCTATCCAGATATGTTTAAATCTAACATACCATGTACTTTAAGGCAACATTGAGGGTACAATTTCAAAAACCAAAGTCGCTCGAGGTATGAAAGTGGACTGATTTTGATCCAGAGATGATGGATTTTAATTCTTAATACGCCAATCTCGACGACAATTGATATGATTTTTTTTCTACGAATCTGTTAAAATTAAGACTTCATCATTTAAAAAAAAAAATTCACTATTGATAATTTCACGAATGTGCAACTGTTGCTATGATAGTTAAAATGATCACCGATTGCCTACGAAAAACGATTTCCGTAACACAGATTTCAAAGTTGAATTCCATCCGGTCTCACCAAAAGCAACTAGCTATCAAGGCTGGCCTCTACCGTTGATCGGATTCAGTTCCAATCACCGTGTGTTGTGGTGTCTGGTCGTTGGCATCAGCAGCAGCAGTGCTTTCGGCGCGTGGCCTTGAACATTGTTCTCCAATACACAATGAAAGGCTGCCTGCAAGCAGCGCGCTGCAGCCCACATGAGCATCCATAGAAGGAGGAAGAAGCCGTACCGCTATTGATCTTAATCAGTAGCTCTTCGTGAGTCGCTGTGGCCATCTATGCCAAGCGCGTCATACTAAAGAGTATAAACAGAGAGAACTCCGCTCAAATTCCTATTCCTACACAAAACACAAGCTCTTGCTGTAGTTAACAAATATGATATATAATATAAAACCACGTAGTCCTGCGTCATCATTTCGTACCACCCCATAGGGCTGTCCCTTGTAGTTGTTTCTTCTCAGAAATAGTGCTATAAAAATTTGTCACCTCTCCATTCTTGTGCCCATAAACATCGGAAATATGTAGGATTTGAGTTAAATGACTGTAGTTGAATTCCTTTGAAACATAGCACATCGAGATATGGAGAATTTTCTGTAGCAGGACTCTACATTTTTAAAGGTCTAAAATGAACTCGAGTTTTGTTTTTTTTTCATGCAACGTGTTTATCGCATCATTTCTATAACGCCTACCCGAGCAAAGTTAGAGATCAAATTGAAATCACAATTTGCTATTATGATGTAACTTATTTTGAATACTACATTTGATCTCATTTTGGTTGACTTAACGGTTAACACAGCAAAAATGAGAGCAAAATTTTAGACTGTCGAATCAAACGGAAAACTAGGTAATCTTGCTTTCAATGAAATCAATTTGATTACTGATTTTGAATTCATAATGTTTGACTGAATACGGGCCTGTCGTAAATGGTTAGCATCCATGCTTCTCACGCTGAAAGACTTGAGTTCAAATGTCACCCGCACAAGTCACAAATGACCTAAAATGTGTTAAACAAAACAAATAAACAATAATCGTTAGTTCAACGACAGATGAACTTAAATCAAATTTTAAACAAGAAATTAACAGCAGAACTTGAAGTAAAGTTGCTTTGATTTAAAAAG